AAATCCAAATGACATTTATATTCATTTTTCTTCTATAGATAATGCCTATATTTATTTCTATTTAATATTTTTATCAAACAATGCTAATATATATTTCTATTTATATATATATATATATATTTGATATTTTTAGAAAATGTATTGTCTTAACAAATATGTTTATATGTGAAAATATTTTCTATGAAATGTATATATTAAGAAGACCACAGAAGATATGAATATATTATTTTATAGTAACTTATTTATAAACACACATACTTTACTTAATTATTTATATATAAAAGCTTTAATATAACCTATTGGTTAACACAATTTAATATTGATTAAATACCGAATATTTTCATATCGTTGGCTTTATTATTTTCAAACCAAGAATGTGCTGAATGTTGTACAATGGATATATATATATATATATATATATATATATATATATATATAGTAGTAGTAAGTAAAATAAAATAAATTAAATAAATATTTTAATTCGATATCAAATTAATCTTTATAATGTCGTTTTGTATCAAAGATTAATATCTCTATTTTAATTACAACGTTAATCAAAGATTTCATGACTTTTAATAATATCTAATAATTTTAAGGTTAGGTAAATGTATTAAGAAGCGTTATAGACCATTCATATGAGCAATTATTAATAAAAGTCAAGATATTTATCAAAAATACAAATGAAAATCTTTCAGCTTTTTACAAAAGCATATTTATTTATGACATTAATAAAATGTATCTTTTATTGTTTCACTCTTAACTTCAACTTTCTTGTTACAATGAAATATAAATAATTGATAATGAATTTTTGCTTACGTTCATGTAGTTTATATTAAGAACCTGCAAATTCTTCAGAAAAAGAATTTACGTTGGTAAGACTTGTTCGCAAAAGCACAAAGTTCTTCGAAACATTTATATATTTTTCTAATTAAAATAATTCATCGCGTATCACGAAACTTATTGACATAACTTATATCGAGAAAAATCGATCATAGAAAAACATACTGACTCACTTATCATATCGAGGCTAGTTTTATGAATGATATGATATACATATGAATACAAAAGTACTGTAGGGATTTAAAAACATGATAGCTAACCGCTTTAACCTTATTTGTATCCGGAAGTAAGTTTCAATTTGCGCGCTGACGCCATTAAAGATTTGAATTCGAAAATATCTCATTTCATTTTACAATATATATATATATATATATGTATGCGTGTGTGTGTGTGTGTGTGTGTGTGTGTGTGTGTAGGTATATGTGTACACACACATATATATATATATAATTTTTGCATAAAAATATTTAGAGATCTTCAAAGATGGAGGTCATACGATGAAATATTTTAAACGTTTGACAATTAAAATCGTAATAAATCGAAAAAGAAAAATCTATGGCCATTGGACATCCTTCAATTAGGATGACGCCATTGTTTCATTTTTATGACATCGCTAATAAAAGGAAAAAAGAAAGAAAGAAAAAAGCTTTCGTATATATTCCGTATGTAAATTTGGATGCCTTATGAATTTAATATTACTAATCAATATTAATTCTGTCTTATGAAAAATCTGCTTCTTTTTTCTTTTTAACATCTCAAAATTTTATCTCCAATATCGCGTATTTCGTCATTTTATCATTGAAAAAAAATAAAGAACAGATTCTTTTTCCTTTTCTTTCTTTTTTTTTTTTTATTTGACAACGATCATGCTTATTTGTTTTTTTTTTTTTTTCGTATTAAGAACTTTATCTCTGTATCGATACAAAAAAAAAACAAAAAAAAAACATTTTATATCTCAAAAATTTTGATCGTTTCATTTATATATGATAAGATCTCGATGAAAAATGTTCGATATCGATTAGATTTTTATGTTGTATTGAGAACGTTAATAAGAGAAAAAAAAAATTAATAGGCAAAAAGGATACGATCATATAGACAAATATAATCCAAATTATATCTGAATACATACATTTATATATTACATATATCAGTATATATGTATGTATATATTGAATATAAATTTATAAAATAAGTTTTACTTTGTAATACATACGTAGATTTAGTAGAAATTCTATTTGAAAGGAATCAGCATCAACGATCGTCCTTTTCTTCTCTCACTCATCAGCACTCACACACTGACATGAAACAGCTGAAATCCTCCAGCCATACTGTTTCTGGTTCCGCTACGTTCCTTTAGAACACCGACGTGCACGCGTCGCGACGTGAGTCTCCAACTCGGGGTCAGCTCGTGTCCGATCGATTATCAAAGCCACGTGTTAGAGTGCTCTTTTTCTACTTTCTACTTGGTTCTTTTATACATTACCAATCGCCATAGAATCCCATCTATCCCTGCCATCTACACACCCTCACCTAAATCCAACGTCCAACCCCGTTTTCGTTAATCCCTTCTACGTCGATATCTGCAAAACTATATTGCATATGTATATACATAATTTATACGTAATTTCAATTAAAATATATTATATCGATGAACGTATCGAAGGATATCCCATATATCTCGTATGCGTATTTTTTTATAAAATTCTGTAGAAAAAAAAAAAAAATAACAGAAAGGAAAAAAAAAAGACAAGACATTTGATTTTTACGAAGCCCTTGACAAAAGAATACGATATTATAGCGTATTGATTTTGCGTGAATTCGTACGATTTATTATACCCATGACACGAATTTTAAATACCCGCTACTATCTATCATCTTCCCAATAATAGATCTTTCAACCAATCACTTTATTGCATTTGATTTTATAAACATGAATTCATATGTAATGACAAGTGATTCGTTCCAGTCTATTTGACCAATCATATGCCGTGGCAGCACTAGTCTAATAGATTACATGACAGCGCCATCTGATATTGAAGGTATTCTGTTTCATTGAAAACATTCTCATTCGAAGCAGAATAGTATCATGAACAGAAGATAACCTGAATAAATTATTAAATAATATTGTTAGGCTGTTTGGTTTGCTTTTATATTAAATTCTATATATGTATATAGAATATTCTATATATATATATATATTTCTATATATATATATATATATTTATAATTCAAATTTATTTGTTCTATACGCGAATTTCTAATTGATTATTTGTATCTTGTTTTATCGTAATATTGATCAATGTGTACGACGTAACAAGATTTCCATAAAATTATTTTTAATATATAAACCTAATCTAAATTATTCTCAGGAATTGTATTAATAAATTAGTTGAAATAATTATAATGCCGGCCCCTAGTTCACTTAGCGTAGCCGTTATTTGCTCCAGTAATATGAACAGAAGCATGGAAGCGCATGCTTTTTTAAGGTAAAAGGTTATGTCAAACATTGGGAGAAAAGAAAAAAAAAAAATAAACATTAGATTAAAAAGAAAAAATTAGATATATTTTAAACGAGACTAATATCTATTAACTAATTTTTTTTTTTTTCAGTAAAAAAGGCTTTAACGTTAAATCTTTTGGTACTGGAGATAAAGTCAAATTACCAGGGAATGCTCCAGATCGTCCTAATATATATGATTTTGGAACAACATATGATGAAATCTATAATGATTTATTAAACAAGGATAAACAATAGTATCCTATTTATCGATGAAATATTTATTCTCATTTCGATAATGAAATAATTATTACTTTTTTTCTTTCTTTTTTTTTTTTTTTTTTTTTTTTTTTTTTGTTACTTTCAGACAGACACTTATTGAAACATATTTCTAATTCAGAATTTCAATAATTTTATATTTCTTTAGGATATAAGAATCTAAGAAATTGTTATTATCGTATCCTTAAGTTTATATTGTAGAAATTTATATCTTTAATGAAATACCTTAACTTAATGAATAAATCAGTTATACACAAAATGGATTGTTGCACATGTTGGACAGAAACCGTCGGATAAAGCCTAAGCCTGAAAGATTTCAACTGTCTAAAGAAAAATTTGATATTTTAATAACCTGCGAAGAACGTGTATACGATCAAGTAATCGAATGTATGGAATCCAGACCACAAGAAGATAATCAACCAGTTCATCTTATTAATCTTGATATTCAAGATAATCACGAAGAAGCTACAGTCGGATCCTTTCTTATCTGTGAATTAGTCACTGTGGTATTTTCATCCTTTTTCTTTTTATGATATCTTATCGTTACTTCTATTAATAGAAATAATTAAAATACAATATTATATGTAATTTATTTATTTATTTATTTATATTATTATTTATTCTGAATAATTAAGAAGGATATTTATTGTGATATATAAAAAATAATAATAATAATAATAATAATAATAATAATAATAATAATAATAATATATTTTATCACATTTCAGCTGGCCAACAGTGAAGATTTAGATAATGACATAGATGAATTGTTGCATGAATTTGAATCGAAATTTGCTAGAACAATTTTGCACACGGTACTTTTCTACTAAGGTAATTGAAACTATTGAAACGATACTACCTATATAGGTACCAACCTAATTTATAAAGAAAAAAAAGGAAAAAAAAAGAAAAAACAATATGTAATTTTTATTATATCCGTTTCCTGAATTAACTGATATAGATCTAAGGATAACAATGAAGACGAATGATAAGTGCTTCCTATATAAATAATGATCATTTTTGTTTAAATAAATTTTGTAAATCTGACAAATTTGTATTATATATAGAATTTATATAGCAGATATGTGCGCCAAGTTAAAAAGATGATTGTATTGGGGAATAGGATGTCAATATATTGGCAAGATATTAATAAAATTAAATATAAAGGTTATGAAAACATAAAATATTTTAACTTTATTATAATTATATATGAATGTATATATGTATGCATGTATACACACACACACACTCATATATATATAATTGTATGTATTATACAAATTTAATTTAATTTTTTTTTATTACGTGAAAAACGAATGATCATTTTTTTTAAATTCAGTAACTTGTATGTTACAAAATTAATCTTTCACAATATAGTAAGTTCTTATATTTAGGAATAATCATAATTTGTGAAAAATCATAGTTTTTCAAATCAATGTTGATCAAGATGACCGTATAATCTTCTAGCCTTTTCCCGTTTCTTTTTATTGCAATGTTTATTAATTTTTTTCCATGGCTTTTCCTCGATACAAAGGCTTTGCATTGAACCAGCTATAGACTCCACACCACTAAAATTCGACATAATTATTAAAATTAAATAATTTGTAAACACGTTTCATTATTTTATATTAATAATTGAGAATATGCATATATATATATATATATATATATATATATATATATACACACACATAATTGTTTTATATAATTTACATTACTTCAAAGTATATTCAATGTGATAATTATTTAATAATAACAATTCTGAATAATTCATACTTATGATTGTGTACATTTGGTACACCAGATGATTTTCCAAGAACACCTCTGGCATGAACGCCACTACATACTTGTTTTAAAAATTTTTTATCTAATTCTTCAGACATAACTCTCCTTCCCCCTATTGCACGAACCATTCTAGGAGGTATATGTGTATTTTCTTTTTTAATTCTTCGCGGTTCTGGAAATTGATGAAATTCATTTTGATTTTGTGTTGGTGGGGCAACACAATATAACAATTTGCCATTTACAAAATCTTTTAAAACGTAACGAGCAGTTCGTGGATTATCTGGTTGTCCATTTTGTGTCATAAAACCTCTATTATCTGAAAAAGAAATATATCCAATGATATTTATTGTCACACGTATAATCCTTCTTGTATCTATAATTGAATTAAATTAAAAAGAGTTAACGAATAAAATAAAAAAAACAAAAAAAATGTATATTCTTAATAAAGACCTACATCCATATGCATTTAAAATTTCTTCCGCAGTTGGTGATCGATCTGGATCTTCTCCTTCCGCTGGTACAGGTAACATAATACCATACATATCTTCGATTACATATTTAGGTATTAATGTACCAAGTAACGTAACTGGTGGAACATGATCTCTCATTTGATCTATCGGTAATATCCCATTTAAAATCATATCAGCTTTAGTACAAACGAACGATGGCATCACTAAACCAGGACAATCGCATAAAAGTAAATCTTTATCTAAAAAGAGAGTTTGAAAATGCTTCGTTTTCCCTGGCGTAGCTGATACTGAGACTTTTTTGTATTGTAACAATGCATTAATCGTAGAACTTTTACCAACATTAGGATATCCTACCATACCAATCGTTGTAACCCCTTCCATATATGTCTTTTCTTTATATATTGACCTAAATAATAAAATCAATTTATCCCTGGTTAATAATTCTGATGAATTATTAATTGATGATATATTTTCCCCAAGTTCAGACATTTTATTATCTCTACATTGTATTTCTGTATTCTCCATTGACTGATTATCTAATGACTCTTCCTTACTTTCATTATTTTCATCATTACTTATACAATCCTGATCACTATAATCATTTTTCTGGTCATCAACAGAATCTTCAACATTCTCATCCGATTCTTCCTCAGTTTTCTCATCTTCAACATTCTCATCCGATTCTTCCTCAATTTTCTCATCTTCAATATTCTCATCCGATTCTTCCTCAATTTTCTCCTCTTCTGCAGCTAATTTAGCAGAAAAAAAAACTATTCGTACATTAATACTTGTAAAATATTCCGCCCATAATTGTCTTTGACGATCGTTTAAAAAGTCTGCCTTGTTGATAAGTATTAAATTCATTTTTTTCGAATCAATTTCTTTAACATAATTTTCCAAATCTTCACAACGGAATAATAAAGGATTTCTTCCATCGACAATTTGAACAATAATATCGCTACGTTCTACTACTCTCCATAATTGTCGCCAAAATTCTAAATTTTTTTCATAAGGCGTAAGTATAAGACCTTCAGACTCTTGTAAAATAGCTAATCCACGTCTCCATTCTAAAAATTCTTCTTTCTCCGTAGCTTGTAAATCTTCTCCTGTAGTAGAACTATCCCATTTGGGTCTTCTCGGTATTTTAAGATATCCTTTATTCTTTTCGTGTGCTTCCAAAACCTTTTTCTTCTCATCTTTGGTCAATAAACCTGGTAAACCATGTAAATTAACAAATTTGATATTTAACTTTTCCGCATTGAATTCCGTTCCGGCAAGATCAGCGGTAGAAAGAAATTCTTCGAAGGAACTTTCCTCCGTGACAGATTGAAGATTGAGACAGGCCCAATCGTATCCATCGTTAACATTTTCCGAATGTAGCTTTGAACATAAAAATGGGGAAAAAAAAATTCAAATTACATCAATGATTTTAATCGTCGATTAAAATTTTTTTCTCAATATAACCTCAATGTTACAATTTATTACGAATCGCAACAAACGATTGTTATTAAATATATTCACATTAAAATGAACTCTTGTACGTAATATTATATCGTCAATATAATTAATTTATAATATTACATGAGTTTTGGTTTTGTTTTTTCTTTTTCTTTTTCTTTTTCTTTTTCCAATATATGTCGCACAAATGTAAACAGAAACTTATATGTACATTATTTACCTTCGATACATCACCACGATATTTTCTCGCGGTCGTAGAGGAGAAACGATCCCTGATTAAGGATTTTCCTAAATTTTGCCCTTTAGTTTTCTTTCCCATTTTTAACAAATCTAATTGTTTCCTTCAAAACATTACACAATATTGTACTGTCGTCGTGTGTAAATTAATTAACGTAACTGTTTGACAATATTCGAGACAGATGGCGCCATCGTTCTTCTTTTATTCATAAATCGAGGTACACACTGAATATTACTACCGACTCTTATCGATTTATCGAAGTATATATATACATATATATTGATGAGGCGAATGAAAAACGCAATTCAAACGGGTAAGAAAATGCGTAGAAAACAAATGTCTCTCTCTGTCTCTCTCTTTTTCTCATATGCGTAATTACAAATGTTGTTAACCTACAATGAATTTGATACCGCCATGTTTTTAAAAACAAAATGACGATCAACGTAATTTATTCGACAATAATTCTTATCGTTTCTGAAGAAAAAAAAAAGAAAAAAGAAAAAAGAAAAAACAATATTTAAATAAATAACTACAAATTTTCTCAAGGAACATCTCCATTTTGAAATGAAGGTATAGTATGGTACATAAATGTATAATGTATGTACGTAAAACATACAAAAACGTACGACGAACGTAAAATAAAGTTTTAATGAAATAAACAAAATAAACAAATATATATATATATATATATATATATATATATATATATATAAAATATTATAAATAAGGATAGTGATTGTATTTCGTTTTATATACGATCGATTAGTTCATTCGACATTTCAAACGTGAAAATTACAATAGCTCATTGTGCATAAATCTTTTTAGATATGTATCTAATAACATGTTCGTAATAAACATAGAAGAAATATCCTTCAATGTTCGGATTGTATTACTATTCACGTGTCGATTACTATGGAACTTTAAAGTGTCACCTGTAACACACTAAGTGTCCTCGAAAAATATATACGCATACATAGATAAATAGAATATACAGATACATATAAATATACATATGTATAATGCATATTTATATATACATAATATATATGCAAATATACATTTGAAACGAACGTAGAACTCAAATAAACGCGGAAATAGCTGAAGCAGAAGATGAGATGAAAGAAACGTTAGAGTCAAAGAGGCGGGGGAAAATAGATAGATGGATAGATAAATAGATAAATAGAGAGAGAGACATGAATAGATAGATAAATGGATAAATAGATAAAGAAAGAGAGAATGATGATATGAGGATAAATGGGGAAACTAGTAAAAGGCTAAGGTGAGATGGATGGATGAAAAGAAAAAGAGAGAAAGAGAGAGAGAGAGAGAGAGAGAGAGAGAGAGAGAGGGAAAGAGATAGGAATTCTGTATCCCAGAGGCAACACGCAGATGGTAGACGAGTGGAAAAGAGAACCCTTACGATGCTATTTCCCCTCTCTTTCTTTCTTTCTTTTGATTACTTCCTCGCTACCCTCCTAAAAGTGGAAATGGGAGGGGAGGAATATACAAGAAAGAAGAATATACAAGAGGAGAATGAATAAGAAGAAGAAGAAGAAGAAGAAAAAGAAGAAATCGAAGTAGAAGAAGAAAAAGAAGAAATAGAAGTAGAAGAAGAAATAGAAGAAGAAATAGAAGAAGAAATAGAAGAAGAAGAAATAGAAATAGGAGAAGTAGAAGAAGGAGAAGAAATAAAAAAGAAGAAGAAGAGGAAGAAGTAGAAATAGGAGAAGTAGAAGAAATAAAAAAAGAAGAAGAAGAAGAAGAGGAGGAGGAGGAAGAGGAAGAAGTAGAAGAAGAAATAGGAGAAGTATAGATAATAGAAGAAATAGAAGAAGTATAAAAATAAGAAGAAGAGGAGGAGGAGGAGGAGGAGGAGGAAGTGGAGACCGAGTTCTCTCGGCACCGGTTGCATTTCGCAGTAGTGCAACAATGAGACACGAGATAGGAAAGGATAGTGCGAGGTTGGGTGAGATGGGGTATTGGGATGACGAGATGTTTGGAGGAGAGGTGGGAGTAAAGTAGTGGGAAAGTGGGGAGAAAAGATGGACACGGTCATAGGAAGGACGGTCTGTGGGAAAATAGGGTTGGGCACGGGGAGGCGGGGACGCATGCGTCGACCCGGCAAAGGGCTGTTATGTCGCACTCTGCCGTCAGTTCGGTCAGTCGTCGTGACAACCTCGTTGATACCGTTTCTATTCCTCGCTTCGCTTCGTTTATATTAAAGAGAGAAAAAGAGAGAGAGAGAGAGAGAGGAAAAAAAAAAGAAAGAGAAAAAGAAGAAAAAGAAGAAGAAGAAGAAGAAGAAGAAGAAAAAGAAGAAGAAGAAGAAGAAGAAAGAGAGAAATAAAGAGAGACAGAAATCGCCGCGAACTCGTCCTCGCGTTATATATAGTTTTATACGTGCGTTCATATATTTATTTATTTATTTATTTATTTATCTACTTATCTATCTATCTATCTATCCATCTATCTATTTATTTATTTATTTATTTACTTACTTCTTTCAAGTGTTTTTCTCTTTTTATTTTTTCTTTTCCCCTACTTCTTTTTTTTTCTTTTTTTTTTTTCTTTTTTTTATTTGTTTTTTTTTAGATCATCTATAATTCTCTATTGTTAGTTCTTATTTATATACATGTATATATATATATAAATATATATATATATATATACACATGTTTGCATGTATGCATATATATATATATATACATATATATATACACATATAGCTACATATATTAAAAAGTTTTCTTCTGCAGGAGAAAATCTTTGAAAATCGATATCGAACTTCTCTCTCTCTCTCTCTCTCTTTCTCTCTCTCTCTCTCTCTCTCTCTCTTTTTCTATCTCTCTCGCGCGCACGCACACGAGCTAGCCGGTAATCATCGACAAAACTATGACGTGTCGTAGTGTTGCGAAGAAGTAAAGAAGGGCTCCTCCTTTTCTTTCTCTCTCTCTCTCTCTCTCTCTCTCTCTCTCTCTCTCTCTCTCTATTTCTATTTTTCCTCTCTCTCTTTTTTTTTCTCACTTTCGTAAAGAAAGAGAGAAATTAAGATACTCTCATCTTATCTTCTCTTCTCTTTTATCTTTCTCTTTTTATTTCTCTCTCTCTCTCTCTCTCTCTCTTCTTTTCTCTACATTGAATTCGGTGAAAGAGAATGAAGGGAAGCTTACTTCGCAACGTTCACGAATGGCGAGTGTAATTTGTGGGTTTTCCTCGTTTTGTGAGATCCGGACAGGTGTGTGCTTCGTAACCCTTGGCGATACTTTATTGGTACGTTTTTCCTCCTCCCACCCCCCCTTCTTCCATTGGTATGTATGTACATACATAGTTATCTATCTATCTATCTTCTAACGTTTCATTTTCTACGTTTTACGTTTACGTATAAAACGTAGAAAACGATTTTTAGAAAACGTTTTACGGCTACGTCTATGTCTACGACTATGTCTACGGGAACGAAACTATGATGATGACGAAACTACGACGACGACGACGACGATGACGACGACGACGACGACGACGACGACGACGACGACGACGACGACGACGACGACGACGACGACGACGACGACGACGACGACGACGACGACGACGACGACGACGACGTAGATGTAGACGTAGACGTAGACGTAGACGTAGACGTAGACGTAGACGTAGACGTAGACGTTGACGTAAACGTAGACGTAAACGATGAAATCGTTTTAAACGAAAACGAAGACAAACTTTTATGGTCGTGTTTAAAGATTAGATCTTGAATTTCTCTTGTTCTATTTTCTTTTCTTTCCTTCTTTCTTTCTTTTTTTTCTTTCTTTCTTTCTTATTTTTTTTTCTTTTGCTTTTTTTTCTCTTTTCTTTTTCTTTTTTTTTTATCATCACGTACCACACGTCACATCGTAACGTGTTTCGTAAGAATGTCGAACGACATCGATTTCGTAAAATAGCGAAACGAATTCTCTTCTCTTCTTTTTTTTTCTTTCTTTAATTCCATTAAGTTCCTCTTTATTTCTCTCTGTCTGTCTCTCTCTCTCTCTCTCTCTCTCTCTCTCTCTCTCTCTCTCTCTCTCTCTCTCTCTCTCTCTTCTCTTTCCCTCACTTTTTCTCTCTCAAGATTTTCATTTGCACGGAAAGAGTTTTTATCATTTATTTGCGTCGTTATTAACTTCTTCTTTTTCCTTTTTCTCTTGTCTTTCTTCTTTTTTTCTGTTCTTACGGAATAAAGAGAGAAAAAGACAGAGAGAGAGAGAGAGAGAAAGAGAGAGAGAGGGAGAGAGAAAAGTAAAAGAATTGCACGAGAAATTGGATAAACTTTCGGCTTACTCGAGATAACTACACTCTCCGGGTAGACGGCACTGAAGTATGCATTAACACTTCAAAAAAAAAAAAAAGGAGAAAAAAGAGAGAAAAAAAGAGAAAAAAAAGAGAAAAGAAAAACAAAAAGAAGAAAGAAGTAAAGAAAGAGAGCAAGAAAAGGATATAAAAAGGAAGGAAGAAAGATAGAAAATAAAAGAAAAAAAAGAAGAAAAAAAAAGAAAAATAGAAAGGAAGAAAATAAAAGTGAAAAAAGGAAAAAAAGAAAAAGAAAAAAGAGAACACGCCGTTTTACAATGAATTGAACGCACGGGAAAAATGCTTCCTGCAAATTTTTTTTCTTTTTTTTTTTTCTTTTCCTTCTTCTTTTTCTTCTTCTTCAAAATATAATCACGAAATCGCAATGAACGACGTATATACGTTTAAAAACGTTTATCTACTTACAAATCTATCTTATCTATCTATCTAAATGAAATTTATTCGTAATCGAATTCATATTTATTTTATTATTATTCGATTGCAAATTTGACAATATGGGAGATATATTCCTATAGGGATATTATATAGAACGCGATAATTTTTGCGAACGGAATAGGAAGAAAAAAAAAAAAAAGAAGGATTCGATAAACCATAGCAACAGCAGCACCAACACTAGCACCAGTACCAGAGTACCACCACAAGCATTAGAGTAACAGCACCAGTATTAGCACTACTACTAGTAGCAATAGCAGCAGCACCAGCACTAGCAGTATTAGCAATAGCTAACAGCGACCGGTGGTGGTGTGGTCGCTGGCTCATGGATATAACATTGGGAACAGCTGCTGTCCGTGAGACGTTTACAAAATTCTAATCTTTCGGGCACGTACCTACAT